ATATATTTTGTTTTTTTATTAATTTAAAACAAGTATTGCGGTATTTGGTTTGATTTATTTCATCGTTGGTATAATTTTAGAAAAATTTATGCACGGTCACAAATGTATATATATTTCTTTTTTATTTTATTTTATTTTATTTTACGTTTTTTTTTTCCATATATTTTCAAGGGCGTGCGTCAGTTACTTTTTTCCTTTACATCGGTTGGACACGTTCCTATAAATTTTATTTATTTTTCTTTTATTTATTATTCGTATACTTTTGAATCATTGAAAATTATTGCGTAGAGAAAAAAGTGGAGTGAAATAAAAAAAGGAAAAAAAAATACAGGGAATACGATGAATGATCAAAACCGACGATAAAAAAAAAAAAAAGAGAAAGGAAGTGTATATCAAAAAACTTTCTCAACTTTCTTCTCCCACAACTGCATACGTAAACATCCAATATTACTATGCGGTATAATATAATAATGATAGAATAAAAAAACGAAAAATTATTCGATCGAACGATAAAAAAAAAAAACAAGACGATAAAAAATTACGCAAAAATATATCAAATATTCCAAAACAAGTAATAAAAAAAAGAAAATAAACTAAATGTGACGAAAGAAACTTTGTTTGTTACACAATCGAATAGAACAAAACATATTTACGATGACACGTGTGTATGTGTGGGGAAGGGGTATGTGTCCTTACAATACAAAATAAAAAAAAACAAAATATTTAGAGTGAATATTGTATCATTTGTATTTTATATTTTGGAGAAGAAAAAAACATCTTCTTTAAAATGTATTAATAAATGAAAAATTTAACAAATAATTGTAATATTATATTATGCGTTCTCGTTTATTTAATTAATTTCTTCTCAAATTATTTCTCGTTAACATTACCAAAAGCCATATATGAATTTTCCATAAGTTAATTTCCATACATACGAGCAATGACTATACTGATTTGCGTCAGGGTTACGTCAGGGTTTCAAAGATTTCGTATGAACGACCGACTGACCCATATAAGAGAGTGAGTAGTCGTATCATACACTAAAGCATACCGTAAAGGTTGCGTCAAGGTTTTTTTAACGAGAGAATATTTTTAATGACACTTCTTCTATTTTTTTTCCTTTTTTTTTTTCTCATACATTCTATCATTTCGATCCAACGAGTTGAATTTTTGCGATTTTGTGTTATTTCAATTTTTAAAATTCACAATAATCAATTCTAAAAAAAAATAAATTTTTCAATTAACCCATCAAATTCATTAAATACAAATTCGTTATTCGAATCATCCTTTTTAATGCGAATTATTTGAGAATGAGACTAATTTTCCTCGTTGATATTTAACTATTTTTATTATAAATAAAAGAACAACAAATATTGTATTATATAATATATAAGCATTGTCAGACAAATCACTTTTTGATTTCGTTGTTAGGCGCATATATGCGTTCATAGTATTACAAACAATTAAACTTAAACAAAAATCGTTAAATAAATACGCGATAATTTGGGAGGGGTGGGAGGGGGGTGGGGGAAATAATAGAATATAAAATTGAGAATAAAATTGAGAATAAATTTTTTCTATATAAATATAATCAAGATCACAATCGTGATAACGAAACATCATGAAACACGTTAACAATAATTCAGATAACGAAATACTAGTGTACAAATATTTCACGATGAAATAAGAGGCTTG